CTACTTATCCGGCTGGATTAGGATCCCACTCTTACAACCCCTTTTAATCCTTACTTCCTAAAAGCTCATACTGATGTTAGAATTCAGACATAAGGATTTTGTGAGGTAACAGAGCAGGAACCTTCTTGAATAAGAGAACTCCTTGAAGCTAGGAGGCTAATAAAATATCACAATTATCAATAGCAATCAAATATCAAATGTAATTTTTTTTTTACCCAACCCTACAATGGCTACCTGATTTCATAGTTGTCAAACTGACTTAGTGTTGTTGCCTGTTTGTGAAAATGGGGGTAGCTTTTGATTGTTAAAAGCCTATAAGAAATGTTCTAGACTTTTTGGAACAAGTAGCCTAACACTGTAATAAGGTAAATTTTAAAATGTTAGATAAATAAGCTACATGTGGTAGCTTGGCATTCTTCATAGGTATCAAAATAGTCTCATTTTCCATTTTGCAGATGATGAGCTACGAAATATGGGACCAGTAGATGCTAAAGTATATCTTGAAGAAATGTCTTGGAATGAAGGTAGGATCTTTCATTCTCTCTTAGACTCATTCTTTTACTTGTTCTTCCATTCGTTTTCTTTGTTTTCTATACAGTGAAAGAAATACTAGGAACTTTTCAAAAGGGAAAAAGAAACCTCAGGATATTTGGAAGTCTTAAGAAATAATTGCCTAGTTTTCCAAATATATGTGTGTGTGTGTGTGTGTGTGTGTGTGTGTGTGTGCCCATGTTTGTTAAATTCCAAACTTTAATGAATCATTTTAGCTTCTCTCCTGTTCTGATTTGATATTAGGCACATGGAGGTTCTTTTCTAACTTAATTTCACTACTTTGGTTTTTGCATTACCATGTGATGTAATAATCAAAGATGATGATTTTATTCCCCATTCCTCTCTATATCCTCAACTATGTGAATTTTTTTAATATGAAGTCATAAACTGTCAGGACAAAGTTTTTTTATTTTTTTACTTCCCTTTTTGATTCACTTAGGGGAAATGAAACATCTGTCATTCCCTTTTACCTCCAATGAAGTTATGTCTTTGATCTTTTTCTATTATTAGTATTTTAAAACATTAGTAACAAATATTATTTCCACATTTTTCTGATGTTCCTTGAATTGTTCCAGTTACATATGATTAAATTAGGAAAACACTTTCTAAATGGAGGTGATGATGAACACTTCAGCTGAAAATCTGAGTATTTCTCAGAATGTTTCTATCTTCTTAACCCTGTAAGTTTTGTTTGGCCTGTGCCACAAAATCCTTACAGGCTTAGAAAACTTCACCGAGTATAAATAGTAAAACATAGCCACCCTTCCTGAAATTATGTTTATTCTTCTAGTTGCAAATTCTTAACTTAGTGCTCTAAAGAAGTGAGTCACAAACTATACTGATTTAGAAGAGGAAAATGGTTTTGCTTTATAAGACAGTTCTGCTACTAGCCACTCAAATGAAATCTAAGGAGTAATCACCTTTTCCCCTAAAAGGTGGCTCAAGGGGCAGCATGATAGCTTTGAGCAGCTATGCAAAGGGAAAGCATCCAGGCCCTGGCACTTTCCCCGGACCTTTAGCCTACTATATAATTTGATTATTTTGTTGGTCTTTATTCATGTATTTAAAATGACTTCTGAATATATCATTTTGTTAATAGTTTGGTGATAATACCATTAGAAGTTTCAAACAAGTTGTGAATTCTTTGTGACCATTACCATTTGAAAGTATCTGTGATAGAACTCCATTAACAACTCATGGTTCCCTGTGTCAGTTACCAAACACATCACCTCAAATTGTTTCTCAGTGTTCACTGAGATAGTAAAAAAACAAGAGGGAGAATTAAGCTTCAGAAAATTAGTCATTAGCATGTGTATATTTTAGAAATTTAATAGTAATAGTTTTGAAAACATGTTCTAATACATGTATGTTGGGTTATATGTGTACTGGACACTGTCCCTGAGCGTTTTTGCTTAAGGTCTAGTGCTTGAACACTTGAGCCCAGAGCTGCACTTGCAGCTTTTTCAGTAGTTAATTGGAGATAAGACTCTCAGAGACTTTCTGCCCCAGCTGGCTGTGGATCACAATCCTCATCTCACTGCCACCTGAGTAGCTAAGATTATAGGTGTGAGCCACCAGCTCCCAGCCCATTTTTAACTTTTTGAATAAAGTTTCATTTTTTTTTTTGCCTGGGCCAGAATCCTGTTTATGCTTCCCATATAACTGGAATGACAAGCAGGTATTATTACAGCCTGCTTTTATTGGTTGAGGTGGGATCTTCTGAACTTTTTGCTGAGGCTGGCCTCAACCTTGATCCTCTGGTTCTTTCCTCCAGTAGCCACCCTGCCCAGTTTGTTTTTTTGTTTCATGGATAAGAAAATGACTTTGTGGTGAATAATAAGGGACAAGATTACGGGAATAGACAAGGTTTTCTTTTTTCCTTTTAAAACTTTTATTACAAAGGTGATGTACAGAGATGTAAAAGTTACATAAGTCAGGTATTGAGTATATTTCTTATTGAACAATGTCACCTCCTCCCTCATTTTTTCCAATTTTTTCTGACCCCCACCCTTCCCAAGTTGTAAGGTTTTCTTTCTGATGAAAAGAACCACACAAAGTTGGCTTATTTAATTGCTAAATTTTCCAAGACTGAACTTGACAGAGAGAAAGGCAATTAGATCTATTTTTCTAACCATTGCCTGAGGTCTAAATGTTAACCAGCTTTGAAAAACAATTGAAGATACTTGATTGGATTGTATGAAATTATGAGTCCCTGTAATTGTATCTCTAATAAAAAATGCTGCTGCTGGAAGTATGGCTCAAATGGTAGAGGGTCAGCCAAAAGAGAGAAATGATAATGGTAAATTATTTTGCTAGTTGCTCCTACAAGCAGAAATATAGAAGATCAGAAGGATCAGATTGTTTGTGTCAATGGACACTAGCTTTTAAACTTACCAGAAGATAATATATTTTTAAATGCTACCATTAGGAAACTAAATGTTGTATCATCATGCCTTCTTTATCCTACATGGGTGACTTTCCTATTTGTAAACTCCAAACAAACAGATATGTACCTCACAGGAACAATCACAACAAACCAACCCCTATACATACACACATAGTATTGTGCTTTGGTATTTGAGTCAAGATTTCTTAAACTAACTGATACCAGAATAGAAAGTATTCAGGTGAGTCACTTCATAGTAAAATAGGTTTCTTTGAAAGGATAAACCGGGCAAGACTTCATGCCCCTTAAAAATGAAGCAGGTATGGCTGTTTTTCTTCTTTTCTTTATTGTAATATTTTAGATGAATACATTGGTGTGAGTGGAAATCTTTTATGAACTTAATAAAAAACTCCAAATAAATTTCATAAATTACTTCTGAGCCACACACTTTCCTACACCAAAATCTTCGGGTTTTTGATTCATACTATTAGTCTATCTTATCTCTAGCTAAAGGCTTTTTTGGTAGATAATTTTTGGAAACGCTGCCTCTGTGCAAAATTTTTTTTTCAGTTCTCTTTTAAACATTTTTATAAGGATAAAACAAAACTTACCTTTATCTTTCATTTTGCCATTTCTGTGGAAGAAACTGCATTTTAAAGGCTATTAGAAAGCCGTTGTGGTTAGCATTTGAAGCATCATTTTGTCTTCTTTGCAGATGATCATTCCTTTTCACTGAATTGCCGGTGTGGTGGAAAATATACCATCTCCAAAGATGAAGCAGAAGATGTTAACCTAATTTCTTGTGATACATGTTCACTAATTATAGAACTCCTTAATTACAGCTAAACTTGTTCTCTGCTTGGGACCCTTTAGCAGAATATTCAGACACGATAAGAAGAAGCCATTCAAACTCCAAGGAAATGAATTCTTATTTTGGTCAATAAAGAAAATACAAGACCATCAAGCAAAGGCCACCTCAGACTAATATAAAATGGTTTATATGTACTTATAATTTATATTTACATGTTCCCATAAAAAGGACTTGGATTATAAATTATATTCAGATCAGTCCCCAGATGGTGACTTTTTTTCTTGTTAAAGAAAATAATTATTTTTCTTAACATAAACATGTCTCTGCAACTGGAAAAATGCTTCTTTGTAGTTACTTTTTCAGATCTAAGAGATGAGGGTTTTTAGCTGCCAATGTTATGCTGCTGTAGACCTATCCCTTTTTAAGGTCATCAGAATTAAATTCGAATTTTTGTAATCAACATGAGAGTCTAGTTGTCCCATACAAAAGGCTACATATGGATATATTTGAAATTAAAAGTGAAGCAGGTAGGTTGGCATCTGTAGAAAGATAGGTAAACTTTGGAGTCAGAAGCTTGGGAGCATAGCATTATCATCTTCATATATAATTTAGGGAATGGAAGCTTTAAAATAATTATTTGACATTGGGCATCTCTCTTTTTTGTGTCAGAGCTTTAAGATACAGAATCAATTGTCTGTATGTATGAATGAACAACTCATCACTGATATAATGAATTGGACTTTTTTCAGTGAATCATTGTCTGCAACATATTGTGGATGTTATACTCTTAAAGAATTATTTTATATGTATTCAGCATTCTCTGAACAGTATAAATCAAGAGTTCATTTAAAGATCTTTGAGGATCCTTTATGTGATCTCTGAAACATTTCAATATAACTTTAGGGACAAGAGATTATTTTCATTGCATCTATAAATCCAAAACTTAAAATATGAGGTAATCGTCTTCCTCTCCCTCCCATGATTTGTATTTATAATCATAAAATGTAGATGGAATATTTATTTGGGATTAGTTTCTTTTACTTTTATTTTTTTTTTTTTGAGGTAAGCTCTCACTGTGTAGCTGAGGTTGGCCTTAAATTCAAGATTTTTCCTGCCTCAACCTCCCAGTGCTAGGATTACAGGTGTTCAATACTGCCTGGTGCTTGGGTTACATTTGTATCCAAATATTAGCTAGTATAACTTGAATAATGTTTGCTATCCTTTGCATTTAGCAATTAAAATAATTAAAACTGAATTGCAGATAGTTTATTGGCAAGTACATGGTTTCAGCTGCAGTATAAATTCACTTGAACAGGAGACAATAATCAAGTCAAAAAGAATAAGTGTTTGCTAATCATCAGCAAATCTTTCAGTATTTGGGCTTTCACGTAGAAATCCAAAATCACTCAGGGGCCAGATCTGTAAAATCAAATATATTTGAAAACAATTAATAAAGGTGATACTGCAATATTATGTTCTTTCCTATTCTTCATAAGAATTTATGAATATGCGTGTTTTATAATCCTCAAGAGTTAACTGTGCCTTCCAAGTGTTTGAATATGATACCAAAAATGCTTGAATATAGCTAATGTAATTTGAATTTGTTGTATAAAATCTCAAATTCTTATCTATAAAAGTGGGAGAGAAAAGGGAATAATGTTTTCTATAGAGCTATGAAGTAAAGATATGCTCACTAAAATATAGTCATTTTAACAGTTAAGTCAACTGTCAGCCAGAGGACTTTAGAGAACAAAAAACCCTCATAACAGAAAAATAAAGCTTTATAAAAAAAAAGAAAAAGAAAACTTGTACCTTAAAGAAAATTCGTCCTCGTATTAGTCCATATGGAATGGGTCCATAGTACCTGGAATCTGTAGAATTCTGTAGATTGTCTCCTTCTAGCCAAACATGACCCATTGGCACCTAGAGTAGGTGAAGAAAGCCGCTTAAAACAAACTTAAATTTGAGTACTGTTATTTAAAATATGTTATTTAAAGACAAGCCTGCTGATGTGCACCTGTAAAAACAAAAGTCCTAAAGTCAAGCACTGATGACTCATGTCTGTAATCCTACTTAGGAGCTACTCAGAGGAGGCTGAGAGACTCTCCCAGTTCAGAGCCAGCCCTGTCAGGAAACTCTGAGACACTTATCTCCAATTAACTACCAAAAATCCTGAAGAGCTGTGGCTCAAGAGATAGAGCATTAGCCTTGAATAAAAAAGTTCAGGAACAGTGTCCAGGCCCTGAGTTCACATACCCACACACACACCCATACACCCACACACCGGCGTGCCCACACCCCCGAATGCACATATGCACGCACTCAAAAGTCTAAAGTTTTTTTTTTAATGAAGTACATAGAAATCCTAAGTTTTGAATGATGTTTTCATTTCTAGCAAAATAAAATAAATAACTTCTATTAAATATCTAAGGTCCCAGCTTTCAACAAGATTTTCTGAATCATGTGGTTCCCAAACATTAATTTGTCATACAAACCCCAAACTAAGGTTTACAAGAGATCAAAACAATGTGACAGGGTCATTAATTTAATGGACTTCAAAAGAGGTCATTAGGATAGTGACTGAAAATATGTCCTCCTGTCTCAATAACAGCATAAGCAGGACAGCCACTCACTCAGCAACATCCTGGGGCCAATACCCAAGCCAGACCCATTAGAATACTCATGATGAACTAAATGGTAATTGATTGTGACATCAATTACAAATAATCTCATCATTTTATTGGAGTGGGCTTGTCAGAATTTTAATTAAGGTTCACTCTTCTGCTTTTGTGTAGCCACATCTTCAGTGCATTATACATTGAAAATGACCATCAAGAACCAGAAAAACCTACTACAAAATCATCAGTTGTAAAATTAATGATGGTGACCTTCTACTAAATGAAAAGACTTTCCCTCTTATATGTCCTGTGTATTAATTGGTAAACAAGCTCAAATTTTTACTGAATTAGAATTAAATGCATTTTTTATTTAATAAGAAATTTGCCTTCTAATTTCTGTTCAATATAAACTTAAAATTACCCTGGCAATAAGCATTATAACAATTAAAAGCAGTTGGCTTCATAAAGCTGGGTATAGGTGGCTCATACCTATAACCTGCTACTCAGGCCTATATCTATTTGAAGCCAACCAAGGCAGAAAAATGTTAGATTGTTTTTAGTTAACTAGCAAAAACTGGTATGGCTCAAGAGGTACATTCCAAGCTAGGATCAAAAAGCCAAGTGAAATCTCTAGGCCCAGAGTTCAAGCCTCAGTACTAGTGCGTGTAGGCATGCGCACAAACCAGCTTTTCAAGGTTTAAAAAAGTTCAGTGATTGACCAACCAGATTACTATTGGGAAGGAATTTATTTTCACTATACCAAAGTATCAAAATTCAGTAGACTGCAATTTTTTGTGACTAATTCCTTTTTTAAAAATAAATTTAAGGGCTGGGAAGGTGGCTCAGTGATAGAGTGCTTGCCTTGCATGAATGAGGCCATGGGTTTGATTCCTCAGCACCATATAAGCAGAAAATTCTGGAATTGACTCTGTGGCTCAAGTAGTAGAGCGCTAACCTTGAGCAAAAGAGCTAAGGGACAGCGCCCAGGCACAGAGTTCAGGCCCCACAACTGACAAAATAAATGAATAAATTTATACAAGCACTGAAATCTTTATTTCCCTTTTCATAAGTTAAATAGAATGTTTTGTATCTTATAGAAATATTTGCTGAAAACCTTTACATTTACATATTCTACCCTTAAGGGTTAAATCTATTTGCTAAAAAAATACAAATTTACTAAGAGTATCAATATAAACCCATTCACTCTTATTAGTGAAACAAGTTAGAAATCTTAAAGCCAATAGCAAAGCTCTGTCCTGTTCTACTTATATTTTAAAATAGACTCCCCACGTAGTAAAGCCTAATACTGTACAAGCGGAAGAATGAGTGTATCTCAGGTCACCAAAAAATGAACAGTGCATTTGGAAAAGCCATATAATTAACAAATTCTTTAGTATACTTATGAAGTGAATTTCATCTTTTTGTTTTAAATTTTCATTGTCTCAAAATGGGTGTTCCTGATATCTACAAGTTAAAGGACTCAGTAAAAGCTAAAGGAAAGTGTTCTATGATTAAGTTCTGGTGATGCACACATGTAATCCCAGATACTCAAGAGGCTGAGATTGAGATTAGAATCAGCTCAGGCAGACAAATCCAAGAGATTCTTAATCTCTTAGACCAGCAAAAGCCAGATGTGGAAACATGACTCAAGTGGTAGAGTATCAGGAATGAGCCAAAAATGAGAGAATGAGGCCCTGTGTGTAAGCCCCTAGTACTGGCACAAAAAGAAACAGTAAATTTCTACAAACTACTAAGGCAGTCTCTGCATATCTCTCTTTGAAGTTTACCTCGATTTTGCCTGCCCATACCAAATAGAACATTTACTCTATAATGCAAGCCTTCATTGAGACTCTGTTCTATAACATCTTTTTACTTAGGTTTTGTGTAACTATTTTATGAAATAACGTAATAGGAAATAATGTCATGGTCTTAATTCCTTTTAGAGTTTTACTTATTACTAGTTATTAGATTTCTTATAATCTTATTGTTAAAAATAAAATGGAGCCAGGTGCCTGTGGCTGACACCTGTAATCCTAGCTAATTAGGAGGCTGATATCTGAAGATCTCAATTTGAATCCAGCCTAGGCATACAAGTCTATGAGACTCTTATCTCTGATAAATGACTCAGAAAAAGCCAGAAGTGGCTCTGTGGCTCCAGTGGTAGAGCACTAGCCTTATAGTATCTCTTTGCATGTCTTGCCATCATTGGGTTAATTATCTCTTTTCCTCATTTCAGAGGAGCTCTTCATTACGAGGTTAACTCTTTGAGATAATAGTGCAAATATTATCTGAGCAGGTATTTAAAAACATACATTATAACAATATGAAGAGCATCATTTTGGTTAGGTGTGTGTGTGTGTGTGTGTGTGTGTGTGTGTGTGTGTGTGTCGTGAGGCTTGAACTCTGGGACTGGGCTCTGTCCCGCAGCTCTTCAGCTCCAGGGTTGTGTGTGTGTGTGTGTGTGTGTGTGTGTGTGTTCTTCAGCTCCAGGGGTGTGTGTGTGTGTGTGTGTGTGTCGTGGGGCTTGAACTCTGGGCCTGGGCTCTGTCCCGCAGCTCTTCAGCTCCAGGTGTGTGTGTGTGTGTGTCGTGGGGCTTGAACTCTGGGCCTGGTGTGTGTGTGTCGCGGGGCTTGAACTCTGGGCCTGGGCTCTGTCCCGCAGCTCTTCAGCTCCAGGTGTGTGTGTGTGTGTTGTGGGGCTTGAACTCTGGGCCTGGGCTCTGTCCCGCAGCTCTTCAGCTCCAGGTGTGTGTGTGTGTGTGTCGTGGGGCTTGAACTCTGGGCCTGGTGTGTGTGTGTGTGTGTGTGTCATGGGGCTTGAACTCTGGGACTGGGCTCTGTCCCGCAGCTCTACAGCTCCAGGCAAGTGCTAACACTGTGTGTGTGTGTGTGTGTCGTGGGGCTTGAACTCTGGGCCTGGGCTCTGTCCCGCAGCTCTACAGCTCCAGGCAAGTGTTAACACTGTGTGTGTGTGTGTATGTGTCGTGGGGCTTGAACTCTGGGCCTGGTATGTGTGTGTGTGTGTGTGTCGTGGGGCTTGAACTCTGGGCCTGGTATGTGTGTGTGTGTGTGTCGTGGGGCTTGAACTCTGGGCCTGGGCTCTGTCCCGCAGCTCTACAGCTCCAGACAAGTGCTAACACTGTGTGTGTGTGTGTGTGTGTGTGTGTGTGTGTGTGTGTGTGTGTGTGTGTGTGTGTGTGTGTGTGTGTGTGTGTGTGTGTGTGTGTGTGTGTGTGTGTGTGTGTGTGTGTGTGTGTGTGTGTGTGTGTGTGTGTGTGTGTGTGTGTGTGTGTGTGTGTGTGTGTGTGTGTGTGTGTGTTTTGAACTCTGGGCCTGGGCTCTGTCCTGCAGCTCTACAGCTCCAGGCAAGTGCTCTAACACTTGAGCCGCAGTGCCACTTCCAGTTTTCTGGTGGTTTATTGGAGGTAAGAGTCTCATAGACTTTCCTGCTCGGGCTGGGTTTGAACCATGATTCCCCAGATCTTAGCCTCCTGAATAGCTAGGATTCTGGTGTGAGCCACCGGCACCTGGCTAGGAATAAAATTTCTTAATGTGAAGTGTTTGATATCTCACTTGCATCTTCTTCCATGATCTCTCCTTAGATTTCTTGTTTTACCAATTCCTTATCAACATCTCTGTAAAAGACTTGCCAAACTCATCATGCAACAGTGTTCTAATATGAAAGTTCACTGATATTGTCTGCCTCTCAAAATTGCCAACAGCATAATCTCCTCCAGTAGGCAGAGGTTAAAAACAGTTCATTTCATATAATAGAAACAAACCCAATACAAAACCAAGTCAAACCAACTAAAAGGTTTCTATGATATAGTCAATAAAAAACAAAAGGGTCAAAGTGTGGTTATGCATGCCTGTAATCCCAGCTGTTTGGGAGGGACCAATCAGGAAAATTGTGGTTTTAAGGCCAATAGGGCAAAAAGCTAACAAGAGTTAAAAGCTGGCAAGATTTAGTTCCATAAGCCAAGCACGATGACCAGTTATCCCAATTAACACAGGAGACCTTTGTAGAAAGATCACAGGCTGAGCCTAGGCATATACAAAAACCTATCTGGGTGGAGGAAAAAAAGGACTGGGGTCATGGCTCAAATGGTAGAGTACTTACCTAGCAAGCATGGGGTCCTGAGTTCAAACCCTAGTACTGCCAAAAAAAAAAAAAGTAGAGCTATGTAGGTAAATACTTAAAAAATTATTCTGTATATTTTAAATGTACCTTTTTATAATATATGTATTATTTAGGTAATTTAAATACACAAATGCTTTATCTTTTCAGTGATACTTGTATATTTT